TAGTCCATGACTCGCTTACCTTCAGGGTCATACGTCACATGAAAACCAAAATAGTTCCAAACGCCAGATCTGAATGAGGGTGGGGGAGGTTCAATTTGCCATGTTGCAAGGAGAGCTTAACTTCTGTCTTGCTAGCTTGCCCTGCGCTCAGTGAATCTGCGTTCAACTATTCCGCCTAGGCTGCACTGTCGAGCGCAGATTCACTGAGCGCTCAACACAGACAGCATCGTCAGAAGGAAAGTTGATAAAATAAATTACAAATGTTGTATTGTTCGATACATATGCGTACCAAACCGAAACCACTGTATCGAACGGTTCAATATCGATACGAGTATCGTTGCACCCCTAATATATATATATATATATATATAAACTTCACACTTTTAGTGTACCTCATTCTCTCTTCTGTAGCTCGGCATTAGCTGTGCTGTTGTTTGGTTTTAGGCAGCTGGTTAAGAGGAAAACTCAAAGTGATAGATTAAGGCAGCAGTCTTTACTCTTTTTGAAAATGGATAATGGATCAAGAAAGGCTAAAAATGCACAGAACAGTATTATATGTATTCATTCCATGATTATTCTATTGAAAAACAAGGTGGCAGACAAACTGCATTAACCTATGAAAAACAATGAAAGAAGGGATACCTGCACAAAAATAATCTTTCATCATATTATGTTAAAAACTAAAGCTGAATTATGAATGAGTATATTTGCTATTTTTTGTATTTGCCACACAAATTTTTCAGTTTTGGGATAAACTGGACATCACCATCATCATCCCAGGAGCTGCCACTGTCACCCAACCTGCTGACATGTATTCTAACTTCTGCAAGTTAAAACCACTGTCCCCTGAGGAAGCTCTTGAAGAACACCTTGTACTAGAGTCCATCGCTTGGCCTAAAACTCCACCATTACCATCTCCTCTTTCTCTGAACAACACCAGTGATCCAGCCCATAGCACCTTCACCATTCTCCCAAGGAAGAGGGGAGAACAGTGGTACATAGGTGATAAACTGGAGGTTATGATAAAAATGTATGACTTTCAAGGCCATCCAAAGAAGTCCGGCGGAGATGTCTTACTAGCCCGGCTACACAACTTGACTCTTGGTGCAGGTGCGGCAGGGCATATAACAGATTATCTCAATGGCACCTACTCTGCTGTATTCTCTCTACTCTGGGAAGGAAGTGCACAGGTTCAGGTAATGCTAACACTCATCTTGAATGTGATTGTAGGGACCAAATATGTCTGTGAAGGTTCTCAGTCATCCAGGTCATCGTAGTCTAAGGAGCTTGGAAAGACAAGCGTCTGGACTTCTTTAAGTTGCTTGAAGACGTTTCACCTCTCATCCAAGAAGCTTCTTCTGTTCCAGGGTCAAATGGTGGGGAGTCCAAGATTTAAACCTTGAGGGAGTATCTGCCCAAAGAGGGACAAAAGGACCCCGATGATCCTCTATCTAATCACATGAGCCAAGGTGTGAAAATGGGTGTGGGTAACAATCAGCCAGAGTTTTGGGTGAGCTCATTGTGAAACCTGGCCCAACCCTATCATGTGATTTCCTGAGGTCAGATGGCCCAGGATGTGAGTGGGCGTTAAGGCGTCTGGGAAGGGATCTCAGAACTGGATTATAGATGGCAGAGAGTTGGTGTCGTAAACCCCGCCTCTGTTCAAAGATGGTCGCTCACAGTGGACTTT